CGTTCACATGTACGTTCCGATGGAGCATGCTCACCATAGGCTTCCACCAACATTCGATGCGCTTCAGCCGCAGTTTTCTTCAAATGAAAGCAAAAAATTAATGCTTGCGGGAAATGTTGCTTTTTCGGTACAAAATTTGACATATTTAAGGCGCAAAAAAAAATGTTTATCCAAACTTCGATGAAATGATAGATGATGATTTCTGTAGTTTGACACTAGACCACTCATGTGAAAAAGAAAAAAGTATTGCCCGATACAACCATGCAAAGTTACGCCATCTTTTGAAAAATCGACACGATTAATTCCCAGACCCAATAGATCCAAGTTAATCATTGTCGAATAATATGTGTCATATTAACTTCCAAATGCACTCGCTAATAATGAGAATGCCTCACAATTATAGCAAAGATTTGTAGATATATTTGTTAACATGCTTCAAAATGTTTCACTTCTCATATGATTTGGCTATATATGTCTTTTGACATTATTTATTTTATTTTTATTCATTATTTGAACTTTTGTTCAAAATGTATTCATTCATTTCCAATTCCACAGATTGAAGAAAATAGCCGTGCTTTGGAATATTTAGGACATGGAATTAGTGGCTCGGTAAGTTCTTTGGACAGTGCCGCCGCTTCACCTGCGGTTGCATCGAGCGACGTAAAAGCTGAAAAATGGAAACAAGGTGCAAGGAAAACTCTTCTCAATTGGGTATCGAATGCATTGCCAAAGTATGTAATGAAACAATTTAGTGAAAAAAAAAACAGAAATAAAACTGGCAACTAGTTAAAAAAAACTATAATCTCATACGAATTTCATTTGAATTCAGGGATAGTGGCATAGAGGTACGTGATTTTGGCCCAAGTTGGAGAGATGGAGTAGCTTTCTTAGCATTGATTGATTCGATTAAAGCAAATTTAATAAATTTGGCCGAAATGCGAAAGTCAACGACCACAAATAAACAACGTTTGAACACAGCATTTGATGTGGCGGAGAGTAAATTAGGTATTGCACGTTTACTTGATGCCGACGACGTAGACGTTCCCAAACCAGAAGAGAAAAGTATTATGACTTATGTTGCTCAGTTCTTACATAAATATCCTGAACCTAAGGTGAATTTAGTACAATATATCTGAAATGAAGATACATATATGATGAGAAAGAGTGTGATTTATTGAAGAGAAAAATCTTATTTACAGGGTGTTTCACGCGATGGAGCTACAACTTTACAGGAAGAATATGATGAGTTTGTTCATTGGTTGCGGTCACGAACTTCTCACTATGAACATCTTATTCGAACTCAAAAATTACCCAATGTCTATTCCGATTATCTAGCAGCCAAATCAGATGCTGATGCGCATGCAGGTCTGTTCAACAAGTTGAAAAATTTGCTTACTACCCATCATAATATTGCTGCACTAACGCAAGCCTCATGGGAGGATATCCACAAGTTGTGGAATCAACATCAATTCCAATTGCAATACTGGCTATGGCTATTAGATTCCAATTTACCGGGTGACTTTGGTGTGGTTGGAAAATGGTTGGCAGATGCCGAAAAATTGTTGTACCATGATGAGATACCAACATCGATGAATGAAGAGACAGCAGCAATAATAAGTAAAAAGCTTGAAGAACACAAAAGATTCTTCAGCAACTACGATCAAATCAAAGAACTATTCTTGCGTGCAAAACAATCACCATTGTCGGCCCCTATACCGTCTGATCAGCTGCGAAGCCTTGAACAACGCCTCCATGATATCGGACCCAAAGCACAACAACGACGCTTGAATTTGAAATTTTTGGAACATAAATGCTGTATAATCGCATTCTTGAATCTGATCGAGAACAAACTTCACTTGTGGAGTGGCAAATTTGGGCGCGTGGACAGATCAAAACAAATGCTTCAACATTACAATGATTTCGTTCATAAGAACATGGTCTTCGAAGAATTTGCCAAGGCTTTTGTAGACATGAAATATGTAGTTGAAGAGTGTAGACGTGATGGCAACTTAACACGACAAGATAATTATGAAGTAGAAAAATTTATGCGCGATACTGAAGAGCGATGGAAGCGTATATCACGTGACTTGAAATGTTGTCAAAATATGCTGGAAGAAGTCGTGACCAATTGGCACCGATGGAATGCCGGTGCAGATGAATTCGAAGGATGGCTGTGCAGAGCTGAACAGAAAATACGCACTTCGGAAGATGAGCGATTGGAATTTTTCAAAGATATTAGCTTTTGGAAGGACAAACATCAGGAATTGCATGATATAGCAAATTTCCTTATTGCAACATGCGAGCCAGAAATCGCCGGAGAGTTGCGCGATAAATTCCATCAACTTTCACATCGTTTCGATAGCATATATGCAAACACCAAGCAATATGTGAATTCAAGTGATATCCTGCGAAATAGACAGGAATATCGCCAGGGAACCGAAAAATTGAATTCGTGGTTGAGTAAGGCAGAGAATCTATTGACAAAGCAAGTTGTGTGTACAACGGCATCGATTGCAAGTCACAGTGCAAACCTTCAAACTTTGTCTACTGAATTAGATGATGTTGAAGAATTGTTCAAGCAAATCAGCAAAATGATACAATCACTGTTGCCTAATATGAGTCGCACTGAAGTTGAAACTATGATGAATACGTTGAAACAGCAAAAAGAGCAACTTGTGCGTATTCGATCACAAATTCCGAACAAACTACACCTTTTCCATCAACTACATACACAACAAGATGCACTTGAGCAAGGACAAAAGGAGGTACATAACTGGCTAAATGATGCCGAAACACTACTACAAACGCACTCACTTACTGCTGATCGTGATAAATTACAAGAGCAATTGGACCGACATCGTGCATTCTTTTCGCGAACACGTTACTACCAATCAATGGTTGAAAGCAAAAATCATGTTCTACAAAATTTGCATAAATTGAATTCAAATGAAAATGTGCTAGATGTGTCCGATACTCAACAGAAAATGGATCAATTGAATGATCGTTTCAATTACGTAACTCAAAATGCACAGCAGTGGGAGCAACGTTTGCAAGATGCCGATGGCTGTTGGAATGCATTCAGAGAAGATGAACGCATCGTCGCCGATTGGATATACAAAGCAGAAGTTTTTCTTACCGAGCGACATATTCAATCCTCGAAAATGATTGAGGAACGTCAGATATTCTTTGAAAATATCAATAATGATTGGATGAATAATTTGCTATCGAGTGGACAACATTTACTGAAAACAATACCCATGGAAGAGCAACAAAAGGTTGTTGAAAATGTTGAAGCTCTACAAAGACGATGGGAAGATGTCGTACAACGTGCGCCACAGCATTTAATCCATTTGCAATTTAATTTGAATGAAGAAAACTTTAACCAGACTATCAAGGATATTGAGAAAGAAATTCAATTTGAACAACAAGCACTAAATAGAAACGAAGATATTGATTTGATATCGCAACGTCACAGTGATTATTTGACCAACAAGGGAACGATCGGTCAAGCGGAAACTTGTTTCGAAAACATGAAACGAATGTCGGCAAAATACGCTGACTGTAAACCCAATGATAAAAGTTTGGAAAATATTCTACAAAATGCCAATATCAAATGGTCGAACATAACGAGTCGAATTGAAGACTTGCAAAAGTTATTACGACAAGTTCCAATTCAATGGGAAAATTACCGTTCGAAATTCGATGCTATGAACAACTGGATGAACACTGTGGACAACACACTCAAGAGCATCGTTAAGGAAGTGAATACATCCGAAGAGTTCGAAAAAGAGAGGCTTGTATTTCAGGTCAGTACAAAATAATAATTATTTATTCTTTAATCAAATTAACAATTACTATCGAACAAATCGAGATAAAAGAAATTTAATTGTGTTCGCATGCAGCTCAAGGAATTAGCGGTAAATGATCACACAATTTAAGAGAATAATTTGATAAATAATTTTTAGTAGACTTTAAGTATTATTTTTATCTCAATTTTAAATATCAATTGTAGAAAATATGTCAGGATGCAGACGCAAAGCGAGAAGATATGAAATGGCTGGTGAAAACACTTGATTCTCTGTTACCGTACGCGAGTGAAACGGAGTCCAAAGAGGAACAACAAAAATTAGAAGCATTAATTGGTCGATACAAAACGTTGATACCGACCATTGAAATCACCATGGTAAAAACCGAAGTGTTTTCCAAATGTTACACATATCGCAAAGAGGTGCATGAAGTCGTGTGTCTATTGGAAAAGGTTAAAGACCAAACTGTTTCAGCGGCACAGCCGGAAAGTTTGGACAACTTACGGCAAATGATTCAAGAGCAACAATTTGCCATTAATCAATTGGATCATCAAAGAACGCATATCATGTCAATGCTACAACGTGGTCGTGATTTGAGTAAGGACGTCCACGCACCATCATTTATGCCAAATGAAATTAAAAGTTTGGAAACTGGCTGGAATGATGCCTATAATGAAACTGCTGATAAACTACGCGAGTTAAAGGGCACCGAGAATGTTTGGAACGAATTCGCAAATCAGAAAACTCGTATTATACATTTACTCGGAAATGCTGAAACAGAATTGAGATCAATCACACCTTTACAAACCGACCCACAAAATGTAAGCTCGGACTTGAAGAATAAGCGTGAATTGAATGTGGCATTGCAGCAAGCATCACGCCAAATGATTTCCAATCTCCACGATTTATGCAAAGAGCTTACACCACTTACCGATGTGACAAAGAAGCCGATGATCGAGAAAGAAGTGACGGAATTGGAGAAACAGTTTTTCAACACAATGGAACATGTGAAAGATCGTGTTAATTATTTGGAAGACTATAATTTCCGTTGGAATAACTACAAAACACGGGTGGCAGAGTTACAAAATTGGGCCCTAAACTCAGCTCCACAGCTGATCGAAGCAGTCCAATCGCAAGAAATTTCCCCTGAAGAACGCGTCCTGAAAACTGAAGCACTCCAAGCGGTCATTGCTGAGAAAATGCGAGCATTGGATATTTTAGCTAGTGACGCTTGCGAGCTAGCTCCAAAAGAAGGAAATATCTCTGAAGCTAAGCGGCTAAGAGGAGAAGTGTCAAAATTGCAAGAGATGTTGAGTTTAATAAATAGAAACGTAAATCATCAAGCAATAACTACGAAAGAGGACCTAGCAAATTGGCAAAAGTATCAGACCGGTATTCAAGAAATAAAACCATGGATTGAACGTTCAGAGTCAAGGTTCAGTTTGGTCGCTGAGAAACCAGCTTCACTCCATGAAGCGGTGACATTGCAACAACAAGCACGACAATTTGCAAGTCAATGCGAACTTCAAAAGGAAAAGCTAAACGCTGTTGCATCATTCAACAATTTGATGACATGCAGAACAAATGCGCCCGACGAATTGGACGCGGTCAATTCGAGATGGAGTTCGGTGCATGACAATGCAAAACAAGTTGCGAACAAGTTTGATCGATTAGTTGCGACCTGGCAGTCATTTGATAATGACGCAGTCAAATTGGAGGACTGGATTGAAAAGAGTGAAAATGCTTTATTGACACGACCAGCGCTTGAGAATACCCCTCACGTCGACAAACTGGAAAAAGAATTGATACATTTGAAGACATTCAACAACGATATTTCGGAGCAATTGGCCAAAATTGTGTCCTTGACACAGAGCTCTGAACACCTCGCAACGAATTTGGCTCCGGATGGACTAAATGCTACGAAAGAACGTATTGGTGCATTGAGAGGAAGAGTAACGAAGCTATCAGAAGGCATTCGAGCTAAAATAAATGTCGTGTCTGATGCCATCATCTCGCGACAAGACTTCAATGCGCAATCGGCTAATTTCAGCACTTCGATGGAACGGTTACGCAATCAAGCCGCACAGATTGAAGATTTAGTCACTGAACGTGTGGAACCACATCTTCAAATTGTGCACAATTTGTTACAAGAACACGGTGATATGAAGAATTTATTCAATTCAATCTATGAAGAAGTGAAGAATATGACTCTCAACGCAAACCCGGAAGAAAGTCGAACTATTAACGATTCATACACAGCCCTTGTGCTGAATTACCAAAATATCGAGGACGATTTGCAGCGGAAAAAGCAAGCACTACAGAAATGGTCGGAATTCTTGAGCTGGAAAAACGATATTGAATCGAATGCAAATCACATTAAACAGCAATTGGACAAATCAGCTGATAAAACGAATAATTCCGAAGCGTTGGAAAATATTATACAAGAAATAACTGCCAACATTGATGTCATTGGGCCGAAGAGAATCGACGCAAACGAAATCGATAATAATCCAGCGATTTATTTGAAAGACGCCCATACTGGAAAACCAATGAATACGCAACAAATTATCAATGATTTAGAGAACAAATTCCATAATTTGTTGCTGAAAGCTCAAAATCAGATAGCTGCACTAAGTAAAATTGAAGCTCAAAAGGGTAACTTCATTCAAATTGAAAATAATTTGGGGAAATACTTGTTGGGTGTTAGATCGAATTTGGACAATATCGTTGCTCGTTCACCGGCCGACAACATCGAACAAAATATCGCGGATCTTAATGGACTTTATGCCGATCTGCAAAGCAAGACACCGTTAAAAGAGAAAATGCATGATGAAGGAACGCAGTTAATGCGAGAAGATATTTCGAGTATGCCGGCAATTCAAGAATCTATGCTATTGTTAAATAAGCGTTGGGATGAGATTCAAGCAGATATTGGAAATCAATTACAAAAATATTCTCTTGTCAATCAGAATTTACAAGATTACTTGAATTCAAAGAAGCGGTTCGAGGCAGATATTTCGAAAGCAGAAAAATTGTACAATACTACCGAACCAGCACCGAAAGGTGAACAACAGCTCATTGAAACGTCTGTAAAATCTAAGCAAGCTTTAGACCAAATAAAGAAATCCAAAGGAGCTCTCGATGATATGGAACGTAAGGGTATTCAACTCATCAAAGTGCTGGACAACGCGCAATCTGGCCACATTGATGATGACATAAAGGAATCACACAGAAAATGGCAACAGCTGCACGATCAAATTGCTCAAAATGCAAATCTTTTTGAAACAGAAGCAATCATTTGGAATCAAATCGAAGAAATAAAATCAGAATTAGTTTTGTGGCTAGATGACATCAATCAATCCCTAATCGATGCTGCTAATAATACATTAGAAATCGAGTACAGTCCGATTCGGTTAAGCAAATACAAAACTGAGCTACCAACATATTCGAACATGTATTCAGATATCAAAGAGAAAATAGCAGAACTGGTAAAAATAAATAAAGGAATTGAAATTCCCGCATTGACCGAGCTATCAAATGCACTTGCTGACAAATTTACAGAGGCCGAAAATAATGCATTAAATCTCGCCGAAGTTTCATCCAACTTTGAAGAGCAAGAAAAAGATTTGCGATCTGCAGTGAAGAATTGTGGTGATGCAATCAACAAAATTCGGGAGGATTTAATCAAATGCGATGATATGTCGGGCGAAAATACGGTGATCGTCGAACGATTAATGCAATGCCAAGAATTGAAAGGACAGCTAAGTGAACAAGAAGGTGAACTGGATAATCTACGCATGCGCATAGATGAAATGAAGTTTACATATCCAACATTTGCTGAATCGATTGTTCCAAAGGAATTCAGTAACGTTCAGAAGCGTATGGATGTAATTGCAACGCATGCAAACAAAATTGAATCATCGCTTTCACAGTTTTTGAAAAAATTCCACTTGGATAAGATTGGAATGCTAAAGCGAATGATCAGTGCACAAAAGGAAAAAATTATCTGGTGTGTTCCGGAACCCAGCAGCGACAAATATAATCTGGAGGTGAAAAAATCATCGATTGCTGATGTACAGGCCGGCTTAGCTGATTGCTTAGCCCGTAAAGCAGACATATCTGATTCAATTGATGTTCTAAATCGAATTGAATCGCCCGAAAATTTTGAAATGATTAAACATGACATAGATCGTTTCAATAATGACTTGAGTGAAATACAACAGAAATGTGTTGTTACGACAGCTGCGCTAGATAATAACATTTCGCTTTGGAATGAGTATGAGCAACAGTTGGAAGCCGTCACAAATTGGTTGAAGGAAATCGAAGCCAAAGTGCGGAATGAATCGGCCGCTCAAATCAATTTGGCCAATATTGATGACAAATTGTCCGAACTGTGTGCCCTTGACCAAGATATCAACATTCAAAAACCGGAAATCAACAAATTAGAAATCATAGCCGAAAAGATAATGCAGGCAAATTTTGAGACAAGAGTTGGTCAAACTGTAAATCATATTGCAACCAGATATAAGAGCGCCGTCAAGAGCGTAGCCACTTTATTGGATCGAGCGAAAACAGCAAAGCAAGCTACGATCAACTTTGGCAAAAATGAAAATGCATGTAATGATTGGATCAAAAATGCCCGAATCTATCTGAATGAATTGGCCCGAATGGGATCACCTGGATCTGGGCCAACGCGTGAACAACTCAATCTGATCAAAGCGTTTGTTGGCAATTTGTCCACCGGTCAAGCCCACGTTAACGATTTAGTCAGTTCCGCCGAAACACTTTATCCGATGGTAACTCATGAAGACCGTGATAGCATTCGAAATCGAAGACAACAGCCGCGTGAAACTTTCGATAATATTCACGATGAGGCGAACTCACTTTTGTCTCAAGTTGAATCCCTTTTGATAAAAAAAACGTCAATTGAAGAAAGTTTCTCACAAATCAAACAGTGGCTAAACGATGCAAAGAGTAAAATCGGAACACAAAGTGAACTTTATCCAAATTTAATCGAGAAAAAATTGGCCCTCCAGAAATTGCGTTCTCAGTTGCAAGATAATACTCTGCACAAAAGTGCGTTGAAACAACTGCAAGACAAAGCACAATCGATGGCTGACATTGAAGCAATCGAAAAAGTTGGTGACACGATCAAAGAATACGATGTCTTGCATCAAAATTTGAGCCGCCGTGTTGCTGATTGCGAGAGAAATGTGACAAATCATGAATCCTATGACCAGATAACTGAACGTGCCCAAGACTTTTTGAAGGGATTGAAAATACAAACTGCCGATATATTTAACAATGATAACTCCTTTGACAAAGACACATCCGAGCATAATTTAGAGATTTTGAGCAACGTAATCGGTGAGAAAAATCAAGGCAATAAAATTATCAACGCTTGCAAAAACCAACTTGAAAAGGTTTTAGTTGAAACGCATCCCTCCGGGCATCCGGCTCTGATCAATGCATTCGAGAACAATAAGCGCGAGTGGGACACCTACATTGCTCAGTGTGAAGAAACACAGAATAAGCTCAACGATTTGCATACCAAATGGACAGCAGCTGATTCAAGCATTGAGCAAATCGAAAATTGGCTTAAACGTGTAGAAAATATACTAAAAGATCAAAGTATGAAGAGTACGTATGAAACAAAACAAGCACACTTGAATAAATTGCAAAAATTGAATGAAGAAATCGTTGCGAAAGAGCCCGAATTTGCATCATTGTCAAATATGTGCAAAGATATTGAGGGTGAATGTGACATAAATGGTCGTGTTTCTCGAATTATTACCCGTTATCAAGCGCTCAAGAACCTATACAAAGAGAGCATTGGTAAATATGAACAGTACACGAAAAGCCACGGGGCATTCAATGAAGACTACGATCAATTTAGAAATCATTTACACGAAGCAATCGAAAGTTTGAATAAAAACAGTGGCATTACTGGTGATTTGCCTGTCTTGCAAGCTCGTCAGAATGCTTTGCGAAATATAACCGATCAGCGTACCAATGAAGCAATCACATTTGAAGACATTATTGATCGCGGAGAAAAACTGTATGTTAATACGAATCCAGAGGGTCGAGAGCTCATTCGTCAGCAGCTGCGAGGCCTTAGAGCTGAATGGGATAAATTTAGCGATGATTTGAATGCAGCCACTCAGAAAGTTGAACAATGCTTGCTACAGTTCACTGATTTTGCTGCTGGTCAAGAGCAGCTTACCAGATGGCTTAAAGACGTTGAACAGGCAATGCAAAATCATACGGAATTGAAGACTACATTGCAAGAAAAACGAGCACAGTTACAGAATCATAAACTGATGAATGAAGATATTCAAAATCATCGATCATTAGTTGACACTGTGTGTGAAAGAGCACAGTCGCTGGTTAATGAGACGCAAGACGAAAATTTGAATTTATACTTAAACTCCATCAAACAGTTGTTTGAAAATATAGTCGATAAATCGCAGGAATTGATGTCCAATTTAGATGGTTGTGTCCAATCACATCAAAATTACAATAACCAATTGGCACATCTGAAAGATTGGTTAAATACAGAAAAGCAGCGAATGACTGAATGCGAAGATACATACGGTGAGAAAACAGATTTAAAACGGAAAATTGCCACACTGGATCAACTTAAATCCAACAAAAACGCTGGAGAGAAATTCTTGGCCGATTTATTGGATCAAAGTGAAATAGTGAAAAAGTGTACATCACCAAAAGGAGTTGAAACTATTGACAATGAATTAAGAGAGCTTCAAGCTGAATTCAATAATCAATTTGAAGATATTGGCCGAAATGAAGAAAAGTTACTGTCAATCTTACATCAATGGGATGAATTTGAGTCGCAATTAGATGACTTGACTAAATGGTGTCGAGCCAGTGAAGCTATATTCCGTGATCAACAGCTTCAGTCTACTTTTGACGAAAAAGCCAATCAATTGGCTGCATTCAAAGAGAAGAAAGAACAAATTGCGGACAAGCAAAAGTCAGTTGATTTGTTCACCGATAAGGCCCATGACATTTTCAACAATACGGGAGCCGAACGCCTGAAATCTCTAACTTCCCAACTGTCCAACCGTTATCAATTGTTAGCCGTACTTAGCAAAGATGTTGTCAACCGTTGGCAAGCTCTTTTAGATGATCATCGAAAATATGATGACAAACGGGCGGAAATCGATAATTGGCTCAAACCACTTGAAAATGAGATGAATTCAATTCTAACGGCATCTGTGCCAGAAGAGGTTGGCCCTAAAATACTGGAGCATCTGATGAATGAAAGTGGCAATGCGGACACATTATTATCAGCATTAGATGGAGCCGGTGAAAAGGCCCTGCAAGAAACATCAACTAGTGGTAGAGAGAAAATTCGCTCCGATTTGCGTGCCGTTCACGACCGATGGGACAAACTTAGCAATGAAATTCGTAAATTGCAAAAGAAACAACAGACTCAATCACATCAACTTTCCGCTTATCAGGATTTGTTGCAACAAATTTTATTATGGCTCAAAACCAACGAGGATACTGTATCACATGAAAATATTAGTGGATGGACATCGAGCCAGGAAATTCGTTCTAGACTCCTAAAATACAAGACAATCAACCAAGATATTTTAGCCCATAAGAGAATAATGGAAACACTCAATGACAAAGCGAACACTCTCATGAACGATAACATACAAGCTGCTGTGAATGATGTCAATAAGCGATATGATGATTTGTGCCAAGCTTGTAATAGTCTGGTGTCGCGTCTGGAGGAAGCTTTGGATGTGTATCAAACGTTCAATGATATGCAAAAACAGCAATTGGACTACCAGAAGATTTTATGGGATCGTCTAAATAATTACACAGACTATTCTGGAAACAAGATTACAATTGAAGAGCGTTTAGGTAAAATCGAAGAAATCGAAAGATCACTCGGTGATGGCGATCAAAAGTTAGCCGATTTGAGTAGTCATGTGGAACAAAAGACGGCAATACTTTCACCACGCTGCAAGGAAGTTATGGCCCGTGATCTGAGTGGTCTTAAAGTAGATTTTGATAAATTTAAAGGAACTTTGCAAGATGTAAAGTTCAACTTGAGAAATCGGCTTCAACAATGGAGTGACTATGAGAGTAATTTGGATATTCTGAGCGATTGGCTCACGCAAGCTGAGAATGAACTGAAAAACTTTGTACTCAAAAATACGTTGGATGAGAAACAAGACCAATTGGCCAAATTCCAAAACTTACATGCGAATCTCAATGAAAAAGAAACTGAACTTGACAAAGTAGCTGACGACTCGTCGGATTTGATACAAGATAGTAGTGAATCACGTATTTCAATGGATGCACAGCAAATATCACTCCGCTTTCAATCGGTCAAAAATGCAACCAAAGAAATAGTGAAGAGCTGCACAAATGCCGTATCGGATCATCAACAATACAATGAAAAATATAAGAAATGCTCCGATTGGCTAATGTCTGCTGAGAAAAATTATGGCAAATTTCTCAATATTGCACCAAACAGTTCACGAGACGATCTCCTGCATCAACAGAAGTCGATTCAGGAACTCATTAACCAGCAGAATTCCGCAACTCTTCTATTGAACAATGTGATTGAACTTGGAGAGAAGATATATCCAACCACAGCGGTTGAGGGTCGTGAGGAAATCAGAGATCAAACTCATGAGCTATCACAGCTATTGGAGAAGCTGTTTGATAAAGTTCATGCCATAAATCGTGCACTTCAAAGTAAACTTTCGAAATGGACCGGTTTCCAAGAGTGTGCGGAAACAATTGACGATTGGTTGAATAATCTGAACATTGATGAAGCAATGATTCTAAAGGGAACTTTGGATGAAAAACGTGGCCAATTACTCGTGTATCGCGATCAATTGAATGATGTTCTGTTCCACAAGTCTGACGTGCTGAATTTAAAGGATATTGTCACCAATATGCCCGACAAAAATGAATTGGTTAAAAGCAAGTTTGACCAAATTATGTGCAAATACAACCATCTGAATGAACTGGTACAGAATTATGTCGAACGGTATGAAACAATTGTTAGTGATCACAGTTTGTACAGCAAAGCCGTTAAAGACTGTCAAGACTATGTCGAAGCTACACACAATACGGTTGATTTATGGGGAGACCTGGAGCTCGAGCGAGTAATTTTACGAACAAATTTGAATCGACTAAAAAATCTACAAGTCAATTTGAATGATGAAAAGGCGCGCATTGAGCAAATTCGTAAGCTTGGCGAAAAAGTCGTCCCAAATACCATTGCATCTGGTCAAGTGAACATACAAAATCAGATCGATTCATCACAACAGGAATGGGAAGGACTAATTTCGCAAATTCATTCGACGATCGAAGCGATTGAAAGTAAACTTCAACAGTGGGATGATTTTGAGAAGTTGAAGGATGATTGCGTTAATTGGATTCGACTCACCGACAATAAACTTCATTCAATCGACTTGAAGCCAAGTCTTGACGAGAAAAAGAGTCAACTGGATGAACTAAGAACGTTGCAAGGGGAAATCCGTGCAAAAGAATTGGAAATTGACAACGTAAGCGAGAAAGCCCAATTATTACACCGTGGTGGTGCTACTGCTGCAAAATATTCGCAAATCACTGATCTTACCCCGAAATACCAACAAGTTTCGCATAAAGTTAAAGAGTTGAATGCACGATGGGGACAGTTTGTGACCAGCCACCAAGAATTCGAAAATCAACTAGGCGAATGTGCTGAGTGGTTTTTGGACATTGACTCAAAATTAGACTACTGTGCAGATTTAAGTACAGCATCTCAAAAAGATCTCCAGGGTAAATTAGATGCGGTTCAAGACATGTTGTTGCTGAAAGACGAAGGATTTGCTAAGGTACATTTACCATTTTTTATTTTGTTGCAACGCCGTACCGTGAAAAAATTCAGATGGGGCTCTGCCCCAAACGCTTGTATAGACGGTACGGCGCTGTTCAGTTGACAATCAGAAATCTTCAGTTTATTTGTCCGAATTGTATATTCATGCATTCTAAATATATTTATAATACTGTATCACATAATTATTTGTCAATTTGTAATTATGCACCCTTTTAGGTTCAAAGCATTGTCGAAATGGCTCAACCGGTTCTACTCACAACAGCGCCACAAGGTCATGAGCCTATAAATAAAAATCTCGCAAAACTTCAGAATGATTGGTCAACTTTGGCGTTGAAAATGGTAGAAACCAAATCGATGCTTGATCAATCAATCAACCAATATTCCGGGTTAAAAGATCAAATTAAAAACGTCCTCAAATCCATTGATTGGATCGAAAAATCAATGGCAGATTTATCTGAATTCCAAACAACAATGCCCGAAAAACGGTCGCAATTGGAAAATATAAAGTCAATGGAAGAAAAGGTTCGATTGGAAAAAATCGAAGTGGACGCCTTGAAATCACAAGTTTCAGAAATGCTATCATCCAAGCAACCAAATCAAACTGCATATCAAGCTTTACAAACATTGGAGAAATTCGACAGTCTAGCTGAAGCAGCTAAGAAAATGCTAAGAGAAAGTGAATCGCAATATTGTGATCATCGATTGTTTATCGAAGCGAAGAATGACCTATTCGGATGGATAAATAGGGCGCGTGAAAAATTGCCTGGAGCGAAACCCCAATCTCTTGCCGACAAATTGTCTATTGAAAATTCGGTCGTCCCACTGGACGCTTTGCTCAATAAAAAAGCGCAAGGAGAATTGTTGGTCGAACACCTCATCCATACCGGTGAAGTTGTAATGGCCAGTACATCACCACAAGGCAAGGAAATGATTCGAAATGATATCAAATCATTGCGTGAATCGTTTGAGGGGCTATTTAAGGAAATCTTAAATCAACGAAATAAATTGGAAGCAACAATGGTGCAATGGAGAGAATTCAAGGAAGAATTCGATCGTATTTCTGAATGGCTGCAACAAATTGATATCTTAGTAAAGAATCATAAAATTGCACTGCAACCGAGCTTGAATGAAAAACAAAAACAAGTAGCAAATATGCGAGATATTTTGAGCCGTCTAGAAAAAGGTCAAGTCGATATAGACAAATTGAAGAAATCAGCTGCTCCGTTACTAACTTCACATCTGGACACATATGTAAATAATCAGCTCTCGACACTCACTTCACGGTATGTTGAAAAAAAATGAATATATTGTAGAAAAAGGGTAAGAAATATTAATTTTTATTCTATTTCTTCCAAAGTTATCAAGTTCAGTCCAATTTGGCCCGTGACATCCTCAAGAAAGTAGAGAACAACTTTGAGCTGCACAAAGAGTACGATAAACATCAAGAAAACGCAAAGAATTGGATAGAAAAGGCATGGACCACGATCAGAAGCTGTAGCGAACCATCAAATAGCAAAGAAACTCTGCAACAAAGATTGAACCAAATACAAGATTTATTGGCACGACGTGAGGAAGGTCAAGCTTTAATTCATTCAGCAGTAAATACTGGTGAGAAGGTCGTAAGAGGCACAAGATCCGATGGCCGTGATGATATTAACAGCCAAATAAAAGAAATTCAAAGTGAATGGGAGCGTTTGATTAAGAAAATGTCAACTGCCAAAGTTCATTTGGAAACCAGTTTATTGCAGTGGGCCGACTACAACTCAAGCTATTCACATCTTCAGCAATGGATAACTGAACGAGAGGCCAAATTGCAGCAAGCATGCGAACAGAAAGTATCGAAAGCAAAGAGAGGTCAAGTTAATTTGAGTTCAGGTTTGAATGAAAGACGCGCCAATTTGCGCCAAACAAATAATATAGTGCAAGATATTGTTTCATTCGAACCAATGATACAATCCGTTACATCAAAGGCTTCAGATTTGATGCAAGGAACACCAGCGTCTGAAATCTCCAACAAATACGAAACTCTGACCAAACAAGCGAAAGACTTGTATGAAAAGCAAAAAGAAGAAATTGACAAACATCAGGCACTCATTGATGCTGAAAATGAGTTTTCTCAATGGCTTCGAAATGCAAAGGAACGCCTAAGCAAATGTGGTGAACCGACTGGTGATAAGGAAATTCTATCAAGCAAACTAAGTCAAATTACTGTGTTGGAAAATGAGATCCCTGAAGGAAGAATCAAATTGGAAAAAATCTTTGAACAAGGTGAAATCGCATGCAACCTTTCAGAGCCTGATGACAAAGAGATCATAGAAGAGGCCATGGCATTCCTACAAGAGGAATTTGATAATTATGTGTAAGTACATTGTTGATATACAATTGTACAACAAATGTTTTAATTGTTTTTCTTTCTTCTCTTATTGTCAATAGTGATTCTGTAAAGCAAGGAAAAGATCAAATAAACATAGCTCTAGTTAAATGGAGTGAATATCAAGATCAATACAAAGAAGCGTTCAACTGGCTAACGAAAACGGAAGCTCTCGTACAATCCTATAACAAATTACAGGATAGTTTGGAGGGCAAAAAAGTGGTATTAGAAGAATTCCAAGGCCAATTACAAGTATTATTTGATTGGCAAAAGGAGTTAGATCGATTAAATGTGCTAGCCCAAAAATTGTTGGAAACATGTGCTGATGCACGAGTTAGCAATCCAGTAACACAACTTACGACAAAATATAATGCCTTATTATCTCTTGCAAAAGAAATAATGCGACGCTTAGAACTTTTCTACCAAGAACACCATCAACATCATCAAATGTACGAAGAGTGTCAACACTTCATTGAAAAAACGCGTGAGAGGCTTGGCGATTGTGAGGAAATACCCAGCTCTCTAACCGAAATTCAAATAAAACTAAACACGGTAAAATCCCTTCGACAAGGATTTGAACAAGGTCAGAATAAATTGCGATACGTATTGGAGCTAAAAGAGAAGGTTGTTCTGAATACAGAACCCAATGGTGCGTCTAAAATTCAAGAAGATACCGAAAGCTTGAAAGAGGATTTCGAAAAACTTCTAGTTGACATCAACAATGTGCGGCAACAGCTTATGGCCCGTACAGCGAAATTGGAAGAGCTCGCCCAACTGTTGAAGGTGATTGTTGACTGGTTAAATGAAATCGAACCCATCATTGATGGATTTGACAATACATTGAATGACCTGGGTGATAAACGATCAGCTCTGGATAAGCTACGCAGTTTGCAACGTGACTTAAATGGTTACAATGAAATGATTGGAAAGATTCAAAAAAAAGTAAACGAAGATGGCAACCTAAGCCAATCAGACTTTGCAACTGTACTAGAACGATTCGAAAATGCACAAGACCGAATAAATTCCAAGATTGAAACTTTGGAGAACCAAGTTAATAATCATGTGAAGTGTAAACAAGCCTTTGCTGAAATTTATGACTGGATTCGCAAAGAGCGTTTGGAAATACAACAATGCTTTGACGCTCACGGTGATCATTCTGAGATATTACAAAAATTAGAACAACTTGAGCGAGTAGATCTCTCAATGCCGGAAGGAAAAATTTTGATGGAAACTGCTATTGAATTGAGCCAAAATGTTATGTTGCTAACCGATGATGAAGGTCAAGACGTGATCAAACAAGACGTTAAACAATTGAAAAGCGATTGGGAAGAACTGACCTCAATGTTGACTAAAGCACACAACAATTTAAAGCATTGTATTGCGGCATGGGATAAATTTAACGGTAAATTTGATGCTGTCAATACATGGATTAACTCGACTGCTGATCACGTGAGGACCGAAAGTGAAGCCGAGAACAAAACACCAGACGATCTTGCTCGATGCAAGGTAGGGTTTTATTTTTAAAAAAATTGTTTGCTTTATTCATATCCGTACATATTCGCTGTGACTAATTCAAATCATCAAATCCTCGCTAATTTACCTTGTATGTATTATATAGAATATCCTAGCTGAAATTTCGGCATACGGCGATTCAATTGAGGAACTAAATGATATTTGCGAAAATCTCGTAGAAATTAGTGCTTTTTCGAAAGTTCGTGATCAAACTGTTGAACCGCAAATGAAATATTCCAAACTATTGACCGATGCTCAAGGTAATTAGTTCCTTAGTTCATTTTTTTGTTTAAACGATTCCTACTTCAACTAGTGTTAGACGGAACAAGTGCTAGAAAGAGAGAGAGAGAGAGTAAAACAAGAATGTAGTAAAATTTGAAAAGAGTAAATATGCTGATATTTATATCTCATTTTTATAGGTCTTGTAGGTAAAATTGAAAAAGGTATAACCGATCACACAGACTTCCTTAATTATAAAAAAGAAATGGACAAATGGTTAGCAAACGCAAATGAAACACTTGACGAATGCGCCGGCATTGGTGATGAAAACGAAACCAGACAAAAACTACTAGCTATAACGGTATGGAATCCATTTTTTTTCAGAGAAAACAATTACGTTCAAACATTTTTACTATGTATTTTGTATTTGATTCGTTGATTTTAGAATTTATCAAGCCGTTTGCCCGAAGGCAAACAATTACTTAATATAGTTCAGGAAGCGTTTACAAAAGCAATGAACTTAACCCCAGAAGATAAACAGGATGTGCTTCAATCTAATATGGGTGATTTGAAAAAATCATGGGCAAACTTAACAGACAATATCCAAAATACTGTAGATCTCTTAAAATCTGCACTTAACAAATGGGAAGACCATCAAGAACAAGTGGCCAACTTTGAAAAGTGGTTGAGTTTTACGGAAGATCAATTGAACATCCAACCAAATACACATGGCGAATTGAGTGAAATGAAAACTATTCTTGATGGATTGAAAAATTTGTCGAAAGAAATCAAAGAAAAAGGCAATGATGATCTTCAACGTCTACTGAGTGACACGCATAATGTAAACTCATGGGCCAAAACTAGCAATAAAATTGAAGAAGTGAACAGTTTACAATCTCGTTGGGAGAAGGTCAATGCAGAATGCGATGATCGTATACAGAACCTTAGCACCGAAATGAATGACTACAATGCATATTATCAAAAGTTACAAGATGCTGAAAAATGGCTCTTACAAATTTCGTTCCAATTGATGGCCATTAATTCGTTATACATTACAAATCGTGATCAAACCCAAGAGCAAATTGATCAACACGAGATACTTATGATTGAAATTCAAAAATATCAATCAAATATCGATGATTTAAAGGCTAAGGGCTACAATCAAATTTTGCGTTATGAGGACACTTCACCAAAAATCAGATCTGTCGTGGAAACGCAGTTGAAAAATGTCCAAGACAGCTATGACTCGTTATTAAATACATCTGTTCAGATTCGGAATCGCCTCCAAGAGTCACTTGCCAAATTCGAAGAGTACGAACACATTCTCGACAGCATTCAGAAGAATCTAGATGAGTATGAATCGGCTATTGGTGAGTTGGAAGAACCTGCAACAACTTTGGATATGGCAAAGAATCAACTGAAATCTGGACAAACATTGCACAACAAATTACAAGCAGAGAAGTCTCGTCTGGCTGTTGCTGTAAAGGCTTGTGAAAGTGCAACAGCTAGTATAAGCAGACCATCATCTCCGCTTGAGCCCCATATCCCGCATATTCCACAGAACGAATTGCTTGTTCGTGCAAAATTGGAAGATTTGATTGATCAGGTAAAAACCATATATTTTGAACGCTTTTGAATAAAGTTAACTAAATCAAATTGATTTAATTGTATAAAATGAAAAAAACTAGATTCAATCGATTGTGAGCGGTCTATCCACAACCGTAAGTGAATTAGACCAACTTCAGAAACAACGTGACGAACTACAAGATTGGATAAGAAAACAAGAGCAAAATATCGCCGATTGGGCGTCTAAACCGATTAAACTTCGCCCAGAAGCTTCGAAACTCGAAATAAATGATATGAATAATTTATTAAATGCTATTGGTGACAAACGTGCTCAATTGATGACTGAAATGAGCGGATCATGTAAGTTATTATACTTGAAAATTATCGTTTCATACTATTATCTTGGAAGGGATTTGGTTTGAATTTAAAATATCGTGTTTCGATTACTTATTACAAAAATGTTTCAAAATCGCTATGTTTTCATTCATTTGTGTTTGTTTGTAATATAGTTGCAGACGATGATAACTCTGATATCGAACAGCAGCTAGATAAATTAGAGAATGATTTGATGGATGCAATTGCTACGAAGTCTTCAGGCCAAAATACCATTGAAAGTTATCGTCAAAGTGTTGCAGATTTGAACACATGCTTTGAAAATATGATCAAGAAAATTGATGCAATTGATATAGGAAGCGGTTTGAATTGTGCACAGAAAATGGATGCAATCGCCTCAATTCAAAATGAATGTGAAGTTCAAGGATTGAAAAATCTCGATGATCTTAAGCAAAATGCACAAAAAGTCACTGAAATCATAAATAATCTTGATTCACAACAAGTTGAAGAGAAGCTTAAGTTGAGTGATCGTAGATACAATGACATAATTAAGCGAATTGCACGAAAAGCACAAATGATAGCTGCCACTAACAAAGGAATTCAATCTATTCAGGGCGACATTAAACAACTCAATGGTTGGTTATCACAACAAATTACGAGCTTGAAAGAACCTCAAGCAGTCAGCACGGATAGCAATCTACTGAATGTACATTTGCAAAAACTTAAGGCCATCTCTAAGGATGCTGATGTTAAGAAGGTACTGGCTGATACGCTTGAGAGGCGTGTAACAAATATGCACAGTGACTTGGAACCATTGGAAAAGTCACAATTAGAAAATGATTTACGTGACATAGAAGGTAAACAAAAGGAACTTTTGGATCTAATTTCATCCGAAACTGATGTGACAAACGCTGCACTTCAACGCATCAAGACATTTGATACAGATGTAGACAAGTTAAAGACATGGCTACGAACAAAATTGTCTGATCTAAGAAAACAACGCAACACAATTCCACTTCAATCAAAAGTCGTTGAAAATGATGTTCAAACAGCTAAGAACAATGAAGCTGAGATCATGAAGCTCGGAACGGAATCAATGAATGAAATCGAAAAAATGGCACATAATATATTGAAGAATTGTTCAAACGAAAAGCCTCTACAAGCAGTACTGGAAGGTTTGAATAATGATTTTGCTGAGCTGAAAAATGAGGCGGCTGCTCTAACAAAGCAACTCACTGATGCGTTTGAAGTTCGCAAAGCGTTTGAAAATGATGTTTGCTTCTTAGAAGATTGGTTTAGTGAAATTGAAATAATTACACAAACCGATATCCAAATCAAGAGTCTACCTATCTTGGAAGAGAAATTATTGGAATTTGAAAAACTAAAGATGCAGAAAGAAAGTATGCGATCAATTTTGAATGGTTTGAACGAGCGCAGCAAAACAATTTTGCCAACTTTGAACAATCTCGATAAGATAAAACTTAATGAACTACTTAAAACGCTAAAAGATAAGTTTAACAAACCAACAATAGCCGATAAAATCAAAACCATCGAGGATCAGATCAATAAATACAAGAACTCTGCAGAAAGATTGGCTCATTGCATCGATATTTTAAATAAAATTCAACAAGAAATCGACGATCTGAAAAAACCTATCGGAATCGAAGCTGAAGATGTGAAAACCTTGATTGGCACATACGAACGCATTTTGCGTGAACTCACTGACAACAAGAGCAAAATAAGTGCAATTCAAATTGAAGATTTACCAGAACTTTCCAACGCCCTGTCTCAACACAATGAACTCATTGCTTCAGTTGAAAAGCAAATAGCAAAACTGAGACAAGCGCAAGCTCTTCGTGAGCAATATTCGGCCCTAATTGACCAAATTGATTCAATGATCGAATCATATAGCATTCAGATAGCTGATATAGATAGATCTAGCAAGCCTGTTGAAGAAAAACTCAATCAATATGATGAAGTAACGACAAAGATTCAAGAATATGAAGGTATTTTGGCCTCTCTACAAGACAAAGGCCAAAAAATTGCTGCAGAAGGAACAAGTGCCGATGGCAATAAAATTACTGAAAACAATCAGCGCCTTAAGCAAAAACTCCAGAATCTATATCAAGAAGTGAAGAATCAACGTCAAAAGCACGAAAATACAATGGCTGAACATAACAAACTTTCATCGAAATTGTCTGCATTGCTTCTATGGTTACACAATAATGAAGGTATGTGTAAGTCGCGGCCACTTTTGGAACGTGATCCGGATTCAGTAGAACATGAAACCACCAAACACGACCTATTTGCTAAGGAAGTTCAAGAACGTCTAGACCAAGTGCAAAAGATTGACGAACAAATTGGAATTGATAGTGGTATCCCAGTGTCGATAATAAATATGCTATCGGAGGGAAGATCTTTAATCCAAACATTACCAAAGGAGCTATCTGACCGCCGAAAATACTTAACGGATAACAAAGAGCATCGTATCAATTACATTAAATATGTCAACGATTTCAAACAATGGATACATCAAGCAGAGTGCTTCTTTGAAAATTGCAAGCATGGTATTGATTTTAAGAACATTGCGTCAGATATCGATAAATTCAATTCGTTCTTTGAAAATGATCGCCCTGTGAAAGAACTTATTGGGCAAACAATTCAAGGAACGGTTGATCAAATATGGCCAACATTACAAACTATCGAACAAAATGACCTATCAGAAGAAGTTCGTCAATCTAAAAAACTACTTGAGAAAACATTGAGTTCAGCGAAGCAACAAAGAGTGCAGTTTGAAAAACATCAAAACGATTGGGATTCATATCAAGACAATTTCAACATACTTCGTAATATACTGGACAGTGTACGGATCGATTTAGATGCTGCTGATAGTTTGTCGAACATTCAAACGAATTTGAGAACTGTTTCAAACGTCCTTCTTGATATAAAGGCAAGTGCTTCATAAATTTTGGCTTATGGAATTAGCAATTATGATTATTTTCAAATATAAAATATCAAATGTGACTATGTATTTTATTGCGCTGTTGTCCTCGTAAAATGATGTCAATCATTGACTTGTTTTGTGCCGACATTCCGCCGCAGTATAGTTTTGTATTCAATACTAATATTGATTATGTATTTCACGGACACATAAAGCTCGATTATACAGTAGTGATGTCCGGGTTATATACATGTCTAGACATACATGTATTGATTCAACGTATAGCACGGGGATTGTCTAAGAAGTACACATTTTATGTATATATTAAATTTGGAGTGTGTTATGTATACCTATATAGTTCTGTTGTTTACTTCACCGGAGAATGATATTCTGCGCGCATGTAGTGTTATTTGAAGTGACGACATCGATTTTTATGTATGTTTATCGGCATTTTTCGTATATCTGTATTTGTTTTCTCGATGTTGAAGTGTTCCAGTAGCCGGCAACAGCAGCCAAAACACAGTCACAAACCAAACTTCATAGGGATAGTTAGGCGTAGTTAGATGATTTATAAATTGCTCAAGTGCGATAAAAATGCTATATATTGACGGCAAATTTGGATAAAATTCTCTTTTCTTTCTCATACCTTACATTCATTTCGATAAATCAACGCAAAAAATTTATTCATTTTTATATTCATTTTCTATTTAAAACAGTCAAAACAAAATAAATTGGAATCACTGAATCAGCGTGCCCAAGAGTTGATGAGATTAGCCGATTCTGTGAATCATTCACAAATTGATGACAAAATCTCGGAATTAAATAACGATTGGAATAAAAAATTAAACGAATTGGAGAATAACATTGAAACCTTGAACGTGTTATCCAGTCATTGGCGAGATTTTGAGAAACGCATTGAATTACTGGAGAATCAACTGAACCGTTTGGAGGAGAAAATAAGCAACACTGATTTTGTCGTTAAATCAAGACAACATTTGTTGGACACGAAAGATATTTATCGGGTGAGTAGATAAATAAAAAAAATTGACAGCCGATGTCATTTTGTCGGTCCAAATAATATTTTTGAATGGTATGAGAGGTGCTTTTTCAAATTACGATGAAGAAACTGTTTTAGAGAAGCATATTACATCATCAAGCAAATTTTAGCTTCGCACATTTTAACTGCCGACCCAAGATATATCCACTAAATGTTGTATTCATCAAAGTCGATGAAACGAACAGGACAGAATGAAATAAATAAATATCAAAAACGAAAGAATAAACCGTACTAATACTAATACGCTCTCGCTTCGTACGCTGTTTCTTCTATTTTCGTTTTCAAACTTATGAATACGAAGTCATGCTTCCCATACTCAATACACAAACACTTATAGCTTATCACGTTTGCACATGTGCCTTATGTATTCAGTATAAAGAGTCCGCACTCCGCATTTCTATATACGTGACCTCCACAAATATTTAACAATACGGTTTCCGCCAAACATTTGTAAAAACGACAAATGTCTACGCATTAAATGTGAGACAACAATTTCTGATGTTTTAACATTTCTGTGAAATGATTTCACTTATAAAAAATCGTAGCGTATTTGTGCGCATACAAAAAATACGCTCACTATCCAAAAATGAATTGAAGCAACAATTATTTTTATATTGACCCACAAAGCGTGATTATTCATAGTAAAAAGGCTCAATGAACGCCGCGGTTGCTTCTATTTGTTTATTTCGGCTTTCATGCTAGAACGTTTCAGTGCTTGCAATGAAATATAGTATCATTTTTGCTATTCACTTCAAAAACAAAAGCCATATAAATAAATGCTTGTCAAAGAAACGTATATAAGGAGTATAAAAAAAATTTCTTCAATAGAGAAAAAAGTCAATGATTGTTAGCTGATAATTTTTACTTGATATAATATTTGCGATAATTTCGGTTTCAATTAAAATTGTACAAATTTTTTGGTTTTTTGTGGTATTTTTTTCTTATTATAGGATTTATTGTCGGAGGTCGAGGAGCTGGAGGCGCCATATAACGAAATCATATTAGCATCGCAATATGTTTCGTCGTACTTTGATGGAACGCTCCAAAAATCAGCATCACAAGCTATAGAGATTAAACTAAATGAGCTCAATAAACAATATAATTCGTAAGTATAAGAAAGTTTGAAACTCCCTTTTGACAAACCGAAAATTTGCGAACTAAATTCTCGATCATTCATTTGATTTCCGAGACTTTGCCTCGACGAATTGTCCTAGGTCAACAACATGTAGATGTAGGTTCGTGTTAATTGAAAATAACATTCGTTACGACATAAGTTGTAATAATGGAAAGCAACAATCCATGTGAATAACCTAGTCTTACAGATACTGGCTGAATCAAGTTAAGATTAAAATGAATTTCTAAATATAAACATTGTACTATTACGTCATATTTGTTAGTTCGATACTGACGAACAATGAAAGTGAAAACCAATGGTTCGAACGAAATATAAGTTGCTTGCGCAATCTTTTACACAAAAATAACGTTTCGATGTGTCGAATTGGCCGATATTTCATCGTTCTTTTCTCATACAGCGAAAATGAGGAGAGACAAAACATAGAACAATGATTATTAGTATTAGTGAGGATATACAGACAGGTTCAGTGTATAAATATATACAGAGAGGCACATTGCTTCCTGAAATAAAGTTTAATATGCAACACATAGTTAAAGTAAATGGAAATAGAAAGATAGCATTCTACACACTGCGATGCCACATTCGAATTTATGAAGATTTTATTACAAAAGGCTCCTATTTATCGAAATTTCAATCATCACATTCATTTTAAAAACGAAACGACACTCGATACGTAGTCGAATGGCTACAAATTTTCATTCATTTGTTGAAATTTCTTTCTATTTTAACAAGTGTTCATCGACAGCAAAAAATATAAAAATAAATAGGAATATACCAAATTTAATAGAAGAATATTGTACCTATATTGAGCTATAAATTCGGAAATAAGAAAGTTACTCATGACTCCGCTTTTGACATTTAGAAAGTGAAAATCATTTGAACTGAAAACAAGTAATGAATTCCTATAAATTCAATATTTTACTGCTATTTTTGATTGATTTCAACAACGCCTAAAGGTAATCCCCTTTTTGGACAGAGCAAATTCAAGGCCACTTAAAAGTTTGTACGATTTTCTTCAAAAATACTTCTGCCTGCAAGGTCATGTGTGATCCGAAAAACACAAAGAATAAGATTTTTTTGTGCCAAAAACGCAATTCGCGGCCACGTGTTAATTTTTTCACTTTCGAAAAGAAGAAAACGTGTAAATATTCTATAACGAGAAAGCGAAATACATACGAACAATTTGTAAATTTCTCTCGGCATCCAATATTTTATTTTTAGAAAGAATCGCTAGACAAACTTCGAATGTGAGAGATGTAGACAATTTTGTTTCGACGCAAATCTATTCAGTTGTGTTTTCACATACTTAACAGTTGAAAGTATTTTTGCTTTTGTTCGGAAAATGATTCGGAAATTAAGTTTCAAGAGAATTTATATAGAGAAAAAAATAATAGACAAATTGAAATATCGATTGGTATTAAGTATAATAGATTTTATTGTATTGTTTCAAAATACGTTTTTTTTCTATATTTGCTTTTTACAAATGCTAACTTCTTTTCCCATAAATGTATTTTCAGTTTGAAAACCGCAATATCAGAAAACAACAGTCAAGTAGATAAGGAATTGAAACACTTTGATGAACTATTGGAAACAATTTCAAATTTGCATAACCAAATCAGTTTGCTGATAGAAAAGATTACTGATCTATATGTGTATGGTGAAAATCAAGACGCAATTCAAACGGATCTTGATCAGCTTGAGCTGAGCATTAATAGAATTAGCGACGACAGTCATACACTTACGCAACAAATACAAGATTCGTACGGTAAACAACAGGGATTCGTTCCGATCGACATAAGCCAGGAACTAAAGTCATTGGAACTAAGTGCCGAAAACATGAAAGGAGCCATGGCTGATAAAGAGAGGGAATTCAAGAGAGCGAAAACAGTGCGTAGTGAATATCTTAATGGCGTTGATTACATTCAAGTATGGTTACAACAAGCCGAACTTCGCATACAAGATCGAACATTAGAGCCCGTACGATTCAAAGAAATCATAAATGATGTACAAAAGGAATTAGCGACTATTTTCGAAAAATTAGACACCGTTAAACAATGTGCGGTCATAATTGTGGATAATAGTCGAAGCGATGATGAAAGGAACCTTATACGAAATACCATTGACCAATTAGAAAAGCAAATTGAACAAATTCGTACGGACTTGGAGGAGAAGAAACACCAGTTGCACGATTCGTTAGATGCATATGCGAGATTCATGAAATTGTATGACTCTGTTATGAAATGGGCAGCTGAAAAGAGAAAATTCATTGCTATATCCCTAAACGTCACAACACTATCCGAGGCCAGACAAAAAATGAATGAATACATGGTAAACGATATATTACACATATTCTCAACATCGTTTATGCCGACCGTTTGAATTTATTTTAGACTGCTGTACAAAGCATTAAACCTATTGGCAAGAGCCTTAGCGAAATGGGAAAGGAATTGGAATCAATTGTACAAGTGACATCATGCGAAGACTTACATAACAAAATAGTTGAAGCGGAAGAAGCGAAAGTTGAAATTGAGGCAATTTTATTGAAACGCGTAAGTTAAGTTGATATATGCGATAAAAAATCACCTAAATGGTGATGTAGAAATGCATCTATAACATTTTTACTTCACGTAACAGAACACATTACTACAAGAAACATTCGAAGAATGGGAGCAATGCGAAAGAAAACTCAAGGATATTCGAATCTGGATAGATAAAATAACTGGAACAATTGAATCAACTCAATTCAAAAAGAAACCATTGCGCGATCAACATGGGCTATGTGAGAAGTATTTAGCTGAAATAAACGGACAAAAAACTAAAATAACCCTTTCCGTGGAAAAACTACAAGTAATTCAACGGTTTTTTTTTTCAAAATCGAAGCATAACTACGACAAAACGCGGCAAAAATTAATTTTATTTCAAACAATAATTTCTCTTTTTTTGTTACAATAAAAATTTGGAAATAGGTGCACTTCCGATCTGGCATAGGTGGCGACTCAAACATTACTACAACCGCTTATGATATTATTGCGAATTTAGAAAGCCTTGAAGCGCTCGTTAGAGATAAGACTCAGAATTTGGAAGCATCTTTATCACAAATAGATCAATACCAAAAGCAAATCCAAGATCTACGTAAGCGCATTCTCCAAGAAGAACAACAACTTCGACTTGTTATGGCACCAACGTATCTACCAAATGATCGAGAAAAAGCAGCCGCTGATGAACAGGTAAGACTCATTCTTTTGTTTCAATAATTTCCATTAGCGTTGTATCACAATTAGTTGTTAGGTGTCTTTAGATTTCATATTATAGATTCTTGACTGGATTTAGTTTTAATTATAGATAGAAAATTTCAACTCTTTCGGAAGTAGAACTTGAAACATTGGCCACTCATGAAAATCTATTATCTTCAGGCAATAAATACCATTGATATACTAATGAAATTTATTCTAAAATCTAACATTTCGATAAAAAAAAAGAATTGGTGGCTGCGTTTGGTATGGTCATTACATATAATCATGCGTCTCTTCTATTTTTTCGACATTTTTCGTCATCAGTCAATTCGTTTTTCAAAATTTCAAAGATATACTATATACAGAGATTTATTATGATTATTTCTTCCATTCACATCTTTTTATTGCTATATTTTCTCATCGATACCATTTTTTTCTTACATTGATTTTTCTTTTCATATTCACACATATACACATCTGATGCATCGTTTATTGGTGAAAATAAACTCGCACAACACGTATACATATCTATATTGTCAATTGTAATGTAATGTAATGGTGTTTTTGTTGCACATTTTGTTTGGTTGCATACTTTTTCACATACACACTAACTCCACTAATTAAAATAATAACATGTTAAATGCTTGGCTAAATCAACTGGCGTTTGGGTGCTTATATCTTTTATGGGTGCTATCGTACGTCGTGATATATTTATTGTATATATATATATATGATGAATTGGGCTTTTTAATGTGTTCTACGTATTTTATGAATTGCGCAAATGCTACATTTAATAGATGTATAAGGAGCGCATTAAAATGCTAAAAGCAAAATCTACTGCTCGAATTGAAAGGATTGCATTAATTGTACAGCGAGGCACACCTGATGTTGAACCTCTGCAAAATACATGAAAAAAAAACATCCACTATTTTATTGCTAAAATTGCTGAATTGAACGTTAATGTATACATATGATGTTTTTTCTCTCTCTACAATGTATTTACTCACTATTTTTGCCTCATTAAATAAACGTAGAACACATAGCACAATTTGAAAGAAAAATGGTGTCTTTTGTTTTGGGGTTCTTTCGCAGTCACCAAACAATTCATGTAGTACTTTTAGCGTGATTGAAACAATTCAAATATACGAAAGGTTTTTAGGTTTTAGTGAACTGGCGCTCGTCATAGTACTTATAGGGATTTCTTTGAAGGCTCCTAAGATTTAATTCTATTATATAAATAATGCAATCGAACGAATGATCTTTATTGAGGAAAATTTAGAATCTTTCTAATAACATAACTCAAAATTAGTAAATATGCAATGAACACACACATTGACCGTATTCCCTATATATGGTAAACAATTAGGCTCTACGAACTTCCATCGACCGAAATGTGAATACGATCTCAGCTGTTATGGCACTGGTATTACAAATTGATCCATATGGCGTGAAGGCATCAACCGAGTCAAGCAGAACCGCCCTGATGCTGCCAAACTATGCGTTCAATCAAACATATGCTGAAGTATTGTCGGGCCGTTCAAGTCCTGTATCTCACACTGATGTTCAAACGGATCTAACGATTTCAAAGCTTGAAAACAAACCATTGACATTTTCAAGTTCAACGAGTACAAGTGCAGTGCCTCATTTCAATATTGAAATGGTAAATAATAATCTAACGAAACTTTCTCAGTATGAAGGTAATAATCGACGACCAACCCAAGACTACGAACAACCAGTTGATCAACAATTTACTAAATACCATTCAACAAACACGACAGAAATTCAAAGTGAAATTATTTTGGCACCGGTAGAGGTAGCCAAACAATCTGATTCAAGTGAAAATACACAAAAAGTGAAAATTACTAAATCGGTCGATAGATCGGGACGTTTATCTCGTCCAAGAAAAGTGAATCTTCGGAGAAACCAAAACGAAAAATTGAATCCGGACCAAAAAATTGAAGATAAAACATCTCGTTCATTGACACCTTCCCGCATTGCAGTGCCAGTTGATTTTCGTGGTCGATCCAAGAGCCCTGTATGGATTCCTGGATCCACCACGTATTCAGAAGTTTTACGTGGGCTGGAAGCGCAAAACGCTCAACATGCGTCAATTACCCAATTTGAGCAACCTCAAACTGGAATCGTATCAAGACATTTCGTTGAGCAAAAATCATGGCAAGAGGAAGAAGGTCCGGTACCTCCATGCCAAATTGAATATAACGCAAATGGAAGACACCCTGCAGATGATAGTACTAACATTTCAGTTTATGTTGGTGAACCGCAAGCAAACTTATTAAATTACCCGAATCAACAAACTTTAAGTGAGGCCCTGTCTTATGAAAATGTGATTGACTTTGAAAAAGATATGTTCAGTAATCAAATGAATCCGCTGATTGCATCAACTGATGCACAATCAAACTTCCAATCCTCAACAACATCGACACCAAATTTCAATTATGGTCAATCTTCACATATTACTCAACAATATAGAGGAGAAACCCAGCCTTCTCCAAGTATTTCGACAATCCATTCGGAATCCACGGAACACTTCGTTCAATCTTGGCCAAACCAACAAAACTATATGGGCTCCGATAGATTTTTAAAACTATCTTCAAATGAACACATTCTTGATTCAACAAGTATAATTTGTGAGCAAAATATACGACCCCAATCTCCACTTTATTACCAAGAACGTGAGAAAGTGTTACCGCATGTCTGTCATGAAGCAGATCATTTTGATATCCAATTTGGCAGCGTCGACATGTTGCAAGAGTTTGCCACATCTGACTCTTCAAATGATACAATTGAAGAAAAACATGTTGTTCATGAAGAACCGGAAATCATTCTACAACATATGGCGCCAGAGTCAGCCTTGAAAACAGAATATCTTCCAGCCACTGATAAAAAGAAGATGTTTCCAAAAGAAGAAATCATTTCCGGCTTGTTAACTCAATGTGAGCCATTTTCATGGGCTCAAATTCTATCAAAAGGACTAGATCCAACGAATTCTAATCAAAAATTTACCAATGTGACGGACGAAATCCGTCGATCTCATGATCATGATCATACAAGTGAAAATCTAATCCAAAAGTCAAAACGAATAAGCCAAAAGCCAAAATCTCATATACGTTCTAAATTTGAACGAGGCGAATGTGAGCTTCAAAAATCTAAAACTCTCGAGCTGCCAAGTAAAAATGTTGAAAATAGACCTAATACATCAGACAATAACAAATTTAGTGAAAATGAAAAAACCGTTTTGAGTAAAGCCAGTGTTGATAGCAAAAAATTGACTACAAAACCTAGAAAATCAAGAAGAAAAGAAAAACTACGAAAATCTCACGAAAAAGATGAATCAATCAACATACATACAAGTATTGACGAAAATAACACCATTCGTGAAAAATTGAACGAAATGTCAGATAAAGTCTCGTTACAAATAATTGAGAGTGATTCAAACAAATGCGAAAAGTTTATAATTACGGAACACGTTTCCGCTGAATCGGCTTCTGCAATTGACAGTTCTGAATGCATTTCTAAGCCAAGTTTCATTGAAGAGACTACGATGCGAGTGACAACGCACGAAAAACCAATAACATCTGCTGAAATATCACAAAAATCAAGGTCTAAAAAGAAAAAGAAAACAAAGAAAAAAACAGTGACATTTGCTCTAGAGCCCAGTTTTGAAAACCAATCTCCAGAAACTGAAGAAGATGAAATATCTGCAGTAATTTCCAACAATGAAACTGCAATTAATGTCAATGATACCACTACAGATATATTGCATTTAGTGCGAACTACGAAAACGTATACCACAACCACAAATGTTCCGCATACAAGTGACTGTTCAAAAACATTTTCAAATAAACATACACGTAAAATTGTCCTTATTGAACACGAAGAAAAACTCAATCAGCCAATTGTACAAATGAAATTAGATTTACCGGTTGTAAGCGCGCAAATTATAAAGACTGTAAGACGTGAAACAATCGTTGAATCCGGCAACATACATGAAGATGCTGACACAAACGAAACATTAACCGAATTAAATGTTCAAAAAAGCAAAAAAGATACAGATGTTGAGTATCAATTGACGGAGGACCACAAAGAAATTCAGCCGAGTGAACTTATCGCAAAAAATATTCAAATTTTAGAGAAAGCAACAACATCTCAACATGAGGCTGAGTATGAACCCAAAGTTGAACAGATTACTACTTCTGTTGATATCACACACAGCTCTGCTAGGTCAACACCAACTACTGAATTACAAGAGTTGGTTGAAAAGAAAGCCGACGATGATGCTTCTGATTTAAGGGAAAATACTAATTTTGTCGCAGAAGAAAGTGTCGAGGAAGAATCGCATGAGCCATTGAGTAGTGAAGAAAATGTTCATAGCGTTGCCTTCCAAATTATTGAAGAAATGCATGATAAGTCCAAAGATAAAACTGCATGTAGGCAGAATGTTCTCTCCGAACAAACTCATTCACTTGTTTCGATCACTGTGATAAATGAAAATGAATCAGTTGATGGGTATAGAAATCCAACGAAAGCTACAGAGCAAATCGAATGGAATGTTCATACTGAAGAGCCCTCAAAAATGCCAGTAGTTGAAGACAGTTCAAACACATTAGAAAGCTTTGAATCAAATATTGAAATAGATAGAACACCCATAAAAGATAGTCAATCCATTTGGAAGCATGAAGCGATACATTCTGACTATGCAAATACTAGAGATGCAGAGCGGAAATTTTTCGAATTACAAACACAGAAAATTAAGAAAAAGAATATAGGCACAGATAGTTTCAATGCTTCTTCGCAGAGCGCGGAAACTGTTGCAAATAATAAACTAACTGATTTCGAAACTAACAGTCCAATTATTGAAAAACCACTAGTAGATTCTTTGAATTGTGCACGTATTTATGATAAACACGGTATAAGCGAAGCAGAGCGGATTCATACTATATATTTGCAATCAGTTCGAAAACCCAAAATCGAACCTGAGATCAGATCATCGATGTCCATATCTGATTTTGGAAATACTGAAGGTAAAAAAGAAAAAATAGTTCCTTTTGACCAAAAAATAAATGAAGAATCTCTGATCACTCATACACCACATTCTGAAGCAGCAATAGAATATAGAGTTCATAGTGAAACTCCCCAAGTATTGCTCGCAAAACTAATACCTGATGAAAGAAATGCAACGAAACAAACGGAAAATTATTTCGTTCAGAGATGCGAAAGACTTCCGTTTGAATATGCTGAAATTAGAGATGCCGAAAGAAAACTTTTTACAATGAAAACACTGAAAAAAATCGATCAAACACCAAACGAAAATCCAGCAATTGAATCTGCAGAAATAGAGAAAAATATTTCTAATTTGAATAGAAACCATATGGCTATCGAAGTACTAACTGTCGTCGAAGATGTACAAGAAAGTCCAAAACCAGAGACTGAGAAGAAGACACCATATGCTGGTCTTCCGATCGATGAGTCCAC